GTGGCAGCGAGCTGTAGCTATTGGTGTAACACCGGAAATAATCTGCTTGAGGGGCGAGAAAGGGCAAAGTAGTCACACAAGGAGAGACGAAGCAAAAACACAGTAGCAGAAGACCCCAGATGGATAACGTCCGGCAAGCACACCCCACACACGGATCACGAGTTGCAGACAGGGGCTGGCCACAAAGGGACTTTTGCAATCTAGGCTCGAGTTCACCGCCAATCTCCTGGAGATCGGCCGCCCCCAAGTAGGAGCCAGCCCCGGCGCCGGAGACCACAAAGGCGATCTGCCTCGTCGACAGATCATCCAACCTGTCTTGCCCGTTCTGCCTCATCAAGTCCTTCTGGCGAAGACAAAACATGGCCTGGATCTCCGAAAAAAAGCCGTGCGAAGACTGCGACTCACAGGAGTCAGAGTCGCTCTCCTTCTCATCCGAGGAAGAGCCTAAGTGTCCGATGAACTAGCAACCGAGCCTTGCTAACAAAGAAACGAAGTATCGAGAACCGGGCCTCTTTTCTTCTTTTTCTTCTCTCTCTCAGCCCTGCTTTCTTTCTTCTCCTTTTTCTCCTTCTTTCCCTTCTTATCATCCTTCTTGGCTGACTTCGTCTTCTCCTTGTCAGCAGGATCAGCACCTGGTGCGACACAACCAAGTTGCGTGCGATTGTCCATGCGTCAGTAGTCAACAGCAGAATTAGAGGATGAAGCACTACCCACGTTTTGGGTTCTGGCCTTCGAAAGCCTCTTCCAAGCTTCTCTTGGCTGCACTCATCAAGAAGGTCTTTGCCTCGCTGCCGTCCTCCAGCTCTGAAGCCGCCAGGGACTTCGTGGAGAGTGTCCTGTTTCGCAGAGTTCAATTTCATGATAGTTTTGGGGTTTAGAGTTCTAGTGGTTTGAGGATTAATTAGTCTGAGTGGGTTTCAGTGTTTTAAGATTTAGGCCTAGGGATATTGATCCCGTGAATTACGATCAGTTCAAAATTATATTATTATTCCATAGCAATATTATTCACCTATTCAGATAGAGGAATACTTCGTCCGTGATTATTCATTTACGAATCCGGAAGGACGGGAGGTAGTACCGCTGAGTAATAATGAGAACCGGAACATTTGGACCAGAGCCCGACGAAGCATTGCACCCAATCCCCAGAATAACATCAATTGCAGCCGAAAGTCCTTGAAAGCCCATTTCGACTCCCAGTCTTCTTCATGTCTTCAGAAACTATGGCCGGGGCTCGAACGAAGGTGCGACACAGCAGGGTAGCTAGCCAAAGCAACCCAATTTGTTCAACAGCTTGGAAGCCATTCAGGGATGCAACTTCAGGTTGTTCATTCATAGGAACCTGGGTCCCGGGAGTTAACGACATAGGTCGTAGAGGTCCTACAGTCCTACAGATCTGCGGAAGCCAAAAGTCCTAAAGGAAGCAAGCGGCTGACACATGATGGGATTGCCGGCAATCGGCTGAGGATGCAAAGCTGAGCAAGCGAGACGGCCCACGTGGTGGCTGCAGCCTGTTTCTGCAACCGAGCAGCCGAGACCGGATGGAGTCACCCTAAAGGCCCCAGTCATGTTCGGAGCACAAAGCCTAATTAGTCAGTAGCCGGAGACTATCTGTGCTAATGTGCTATATGATCTTTCTCGCAAACAATGGAAACAACGATAGCAAGAAGCATCAGTGTCATAACTAGCAAGCCGAACACATATTAGATTAGAACACCCCAAGAAACTACGGCCCTAAATTGCACCCCCCAGCAGCCCGAATCGTTGAAAGAAAGCTTGCAGCTCTAAGTTCCAGAGGTTACAAGTTAGGATGCTTTCCCAGGCTGCTGGTGGCAGTCTCAGATCAGCAGAAGTCAAAATCCGACCCAGGTCGTTGCGGCACAGAAAAGCGAACGACATACGTCCGTCCTGGCGTGATCACCAGACCCATATTATTGTCTAACCGAAGCCATCCATTAAGCGAGCAAGGTGCAGCCCAAAATCGTTCGAAGAGCCACAGGCACAGGTGGCTGCCAGGATATTTGCCACCATATAAATAATTAGCTCCTCGGGCTAAGTTTCAGGGAACAATGAAAGCAGTGGCGGGTTCGGGCTTCGGGTTTGCAGCTTAGTGCTTGTTGTCCACTAATTAATCATTAATTGTCCAGTATACTACTTGATTAGTTTATTGAAATTGAAGCTTATGCTAGGAATATGGCTTGCCGGTTTGATCGAGTATGTGTGTGTACCACGTGCTGCGTAGTATTGTTTTGTGAATACTCCTTTTCTGTAAACTAATCTAATTGTAGTCACTCTAGAATCTCTAGAACTTATGAACCAAAAAGCAGCCCACACCGAAGTTTGAGTACTCTCGTGTGTCAGCTACAATGATAGCCGATTACACCCTGATTAATCAAGAAATCTCTATGCTTAGACCTGACACGAGTGCAACCATGGCTCATCAAAACCCGATATGCGTTGCCGGCCAATGCACATCATATGCAAAATCGCAGTCCTTGGTTGCCATGTTGCCGTGCGGGAATCTTATGAAATCGTACCATGCAACCCGAACACCAACGAAGTGCTGCAAGAATCGGCGCCAGCATCACCCGAGAATCTCCCATACCTGCACAATGGTGATTTGAATTGAATCCCACAAATCCCACAAACTCTGGCCGAAAGGTTTAGAGAGGGCAGTCCTCGCCCACAGCATCCGCCACAGTGAGGGTGGACTCAGCAGACCCGAAAACCCCAGCCGCCCAGAACAAAAAAGCAAAAAGAGCAGCACATATCCCAACGAAATGTAGCGAGCACATGACAAGCCGTGGCACTGCCGGCGGAGCGGCATTCGCTGGCAGCGTCACAAACAGGTCGGCTTCCTGATTTCTCATGGATCGACAACGAATCTAGGATCTAGCAGGCACGAGAACAAAACATGAAGAGAGAGAAGTCGCCTCAAAAGTAATGTTCCGGCGAGCATGATTACCATAAGGGTTGCCGTGCATGGGCAGCAGCATGTAGCCGTGGTCAAGGTCCTGGACCCGGCACAAATCATCGCATCTCCATTTAGACTATCATCCCCCTATTTTGTATGCCACAATGTGTTTGGCTACACTGGCCTGGAGCAGCAAATCTTTTGCCAAGTCCTCCAGCCACCCGGAGATATTCATGCCCATCAAGTCCCGGACACTCCGGCGGTGCCGTACCATCACCAAGTCGCATACCTCAATCGCCAAACCACACACTGACCAGCCAAGCCACAGACAACTGTAGATTGCAGGCAAGTGGCACAATAGGTGAACGTGCCCGTGTGATAGCCGAAGTGGGCCATAGTCGATGGGATACCCTTCATTCGCCGATTGCACAAAGCGGGGAACCTGAGACCAGCTGGCACATCAGCAAGCATGAGAACCGGACACCGTCAGTGCAAGGACACATACACAGATTCCAATCAAGCAGCATGGTCATGACCCTGGCAGAAACGTGCTTCACACCTTTGATGACGAACTTATCGGTGCCCCACAAAGTCGTCGGGGACCTAGGTTTTCATGTATGAACATAACTGAAATTTCAGACACTGACAAACCTCACTGACAAACCTCTTCACCAACCACTTGTCCCGGAGTCCCAGTTGCTGAGTCTGGCAAGGACATCGGGAAGAGGCATTTCACAAAGCCCAGGCGCTGAGCGGCCTCCTGTTTCAAGAACGAATGAAAGCCACTCCATTCTGAAATCACCGACGGTGAAGCTATCAAAACCCAATCTAAAAAGTCCTGCAAAGCCGGGTGCCGCTCAAAGAAGTTGGCGCCGTCGACCGGCAAATGAATGACACACCGCACAGCAATCATTTCCGCGAACCGCAGCAAGTTGCCCACAAAGACCTCAATTGTCTCAATCCCCAACAAACCAAAGGCATTGGCTGCAAAAACAGCCAAGTCACGGCCACCTTGTCCTTCGTATCGTTGCAGCAAAAGTTATGCCGGAAAAGCCTCAAGCTCATTCTGGATTCAGGAAGCGAGAGGGAGCTAATTGTATAGCCGAATGAAATGCATCCGGGGCACATAATATACAGCAAACCCCCAGGATATATTCTGGAGCACATCTGCAGACCTCAGAGTGAGAAGTGCTGCCTAGCCAGCGGGTAGCCCCCGGACATAATATTGGAAACTGCGAACCAACAACATGCAATCAAAAGGCAGAGGTTCTGCCCTTGCTCGGTTTCCATGGACTCCGAGTCCTCGATGCCGATGATGTCGGCCGTGGAGATGCCCTCCTGAGGTCAGGTGGCTTCCTAGTTACGATTCACTGTCCAACTTCTACCCTCAGACACCAGTGCAAACTGAGGCACATTGTGCACAGCAGCGGACAGTAACGAGTGCCCGTACTGCAGAAAGTGGATGAACCTTTCCCTTCGCATCAACCCAGAAGCATCGTCCATCTGGTACCCAGGCTCGAAAACATAAGGGCATTCCCGCCGTGCCCTTTCCAAAAAAGGGATTGCCATTGCACTGGTATCCATGCTTGTCGTTATGTTTGTCGTGACAACCGCCCTATGAATGATTTCCACTCACCTTTGCAATGCTTTTGCCGCTGCTGCCATCTATGCAATGCTCATTTGTTGCCGATGTCCAGAGCTGCTATGCCCTATGAACACTGATTATTGCAACTCTCTTATGATGCCACATGCAGAATCTGAACCATCGAGGCGGCACGTTGAAATCCTTGAAGCACGCACCTTGAGGGAGCATGGCAAGGGAAAGCCTTGATTTCTCTACTGATAGGTAACTCGTAAGGCCCCAAGCCCCAAATACTGAAGGGCCCCGACATCAATAGTTAGAATAGGGTTTTGGAGTACATTATACTATAGAGTTATCATAAGGAATTTGTTAAACATAAAAAGTGTAGGTGATCATTCAGACCCCTGTATTAAACCCCTAAACCCCTTGACCCTAAACGCTATAACTCTTATAACCCTATAAAACCATCACTGTAAAACTTACACCAACCCACGACCCTTCCCTCTCCTTGCAGGCTTTGGCTTGCGTTGTCCGGAGAGCCCTCGGAAGGGTTTAGTTTTTTTTTGGGGGTGGGTTTAGGGTTTAGGGGTCAGGTTTAGGCACCCTAAACCCTACAGCTCGAGGGCCATGAGCCCCAGTACATTATAGATCGTCTACTATAACTACGTACTATGTTTATTAATGTATATACGCTAGATATATGCATATATATATATATATACACACACATACACACATATGTGTGACATATTCTGATTCTTTAGAACTGTAGCGGACATAACTTGTTTAAGTACTCGCCGCCCAACCCACCACCCAAAGCAGACGGCTTAGTCATGCAGTCCATGCAAGAAACCAGAGGCCTAGTTCAGGGCTTTCAGGCTTAGCTCTTTAGGGTTTAACTTGAATCATCAAGCAACCTTGCGACTGGATCGTCATCTTAGCAGATAATTAGCAAAGATCACGAGCAAAGGGCTTAGGGTTCAGGATAGAAGGTTTAGGGGTTAAGGTTGAGGTCAAGTCATCTGGAGCTCGGCCGGTTCCACGCGTTGCACTCGTTTCCAGGAAAACTGCAAAGCCCCTTAGGTTGGGTTTAGGGTGTCGGGTGTGGAGTATAGAATTTTCACCCGTATTTCGGCAATATGTACACCTGAAGCATCACGCGGAACCCTTACAAGCTTTAAGGGGTCGCAACTACATTGGGTATCCTCAGAGTATCACCCACTAGTCCTGGGGAGTCGCTAATGCACGGATCAGGTGCAGAAGAAGACTTCGAAGATCTGACGGCTTCGGAGCTGCTTGCAGGACTTTCTCTGCCTTTGCGTGCTTCGATGGTCGGGGTATTCCCGAAGTTCCAGCTCTTGAACTTTGAGAGCCGACGTCACCACTCGCATTCGAGGCGATGCTCGTTCTGGGCAGTGATCAACCCGACGACCCGAAACAGCTCTTGCATGTAAAGCCGTAGTTCACACGGCAGTCGGTTTTCATGGGCCACGGACATGATAAACCCTCCTTCGTGTCCTTCGGGACATGCTTCTGAAGCGGCGGCAGGAAGAGCGCATCTTTCGTGGCACAAAGCTCAACCCTGACCCGACACAGCAGATCGCTTCTGTACATGGCCCTGGTAGGGGGAGACAACGCTTAGAGCCTAAAATGTCAGGCCATAGACGCATACTGGAACCACAAGGCATAGTACAGTATTGCTCATTCTTCGGGTTTGTACATAGCCGCTGTCGTGAAAAATCTCCTGGCCCCCCGAAAAGTCCTAATTAGGTAGTTGTCAAAGTGACGGTCCCTTATTGGGCATCCTAAATATTCGGTGCCGTACTATGTTCAGGGCCCACAAAATGACCATAATTTTGACAACCACCCAGATTGCTTGTAGCGCCCCTAAACAGAAGCCTTTGCAAGAATAATCTCAGGACACTCTTGGACAATGAGGCGGCGACGCCTCGACGCTAAATCCGTCATAGAGCTCCTCACATAACCGCCTTTAGAGGAACCCTCGGCGCCCCTCTTCAAGACCTTAAGCCCTGGGCCCTTAAACCCCTGAACCCTAAAGCGCTCATGGAACCCTTTACAGGAAGCCTCAACAAAAAGAACCCTTTAAAACGGATCTCTATGACCCCTTACAGGACCCCTAAGCCCCTAAATCGATCTCAACTATGCAGCCCTTTGAAGGTTCCCTTAAGGGCTTCTTTAAGGGTTACTTTGGGTGGGCCTTTAAAGGGTCCCTATGATCCCTTAACCCCTGGTAAGGACTTATTTATATCATTTATATCACCAACCTAAACCCTAGACCCTAAAACCCCAAAGACCTCTTAAAGGAACCCCTTACAGAAACCTTTCAAAAGAGACCATTCTTCCTAAAGTTCAAGGTCCTTCAGGTAATGCAGGGATTGTATCACTAACCTAAATCCCAAACCCTAAAACCCTCCAGATCTCTTAAAGGAACCCCTTAAAGGAACCTATCACCAACCTAAGCCCTAGACCCTAACACCCCAAAGACCCCTTAAAGGAACCTTTCAAAGGAACCCCTTACAGGAACCCAAAGACCTTAAAGGAGCCTCCTAAAGGAACCCCTGAAAGGAACCCAAAGACCCCTTAAAGGAACCTTTCAAAGGAACCCCTTACAGGAACCCAAAGACCTTAAAGGAGCCTCCTAAAGGAACCCCTGAAAGGAACCCAAAGACCCCTTAAAGGAACCTTTCAAAGGAACCCCTTACAGGAACCCAAAGACCTTAAAGGAGCCTCCTAAAGGAACCCCTTAAAGGAACCCAAAGACCCCTTAAAGGAACCCCTTAAAGGAACCCAAAGACCACTTAAAGGAACCTTTCAAAGGAGCCGCCGGTAAGGACCAAGGCAAGGGCAGTGCTCCCTGGCCGCTTTTGGCCGAAAGCATCTTCAGAAGCTGTACCACGATCTGGGCGCTGAGGACTTCAGGGTTGAGGTTTTAGGGCTTATAGGGTTTATAGTGCTTGTAGGGTTTATGAGATGAGGATTGTTTAGGGCTTATAGGGTTTGTCGTTGTAGGCTTTAGAATGGTTTTGGGTCTGGGGCTCAGGGTTTAGGATGGTTTTGGGTCCAAATTGGGGTCTCGGGTTAAGGGTCTGGGCGGCTTTTGCTTTTTTGGGTTCTGTACTAGGGTTTAGGGAGTTTAGGGCTTAGGAAAAAGGATCTGGGCGCCTTTCTTTCCTGCACATGGGGTCTCTAAGGGTTTTCCTGGGATGGTTGTTCAAGGGTTCTATCGGGGTCGGGGAAGCCTATTGCATGTCGTGTTCTGTACTTATTTGCTCTCTGGGGGCATCTGTGAGCGTACCTGTAACGATCTATATACAAATTTCCACAAAGCGGAACTAAAGGGGTATCGGATCTGCAGGATTCTACAAGGAGTTTAGTGGGGCTGCATTATGGCTTAAAGGTCCTCAGAAGCTTGCCTGAAGGTCCTCAAAAACAAACAAAACAATGCCGCCCAAGAACCTAGTTCATGCTTAAGCCAAGAATGTCCTGCCCTTGCAACCTGCAGTGAGGCTTCTGGGTAGCTACAAATCGAGCCAGAAGTATCTTCCTTGGAGTACGGAAGGTGGGGTTCAAAGTTATGGGTCCTAGGGCTCTGTCCGGAACTACTTGAACGTTCATGGGCAGGGCCATTGAACATAGGTACCATCATTAGCGCCAGGTAGCTATCAGAGGTATTGGAAGGTTACTTAGCAATACAAGCCTGTTGCAAGTACCCATGATCCTGCAAGAAGCCGCTTAACAGGCCCTCCGTGCCTTCTGCAGGTATGTGAAAGAGCTTTGCAGCTCCTCGACAGCGGACAACGAGGGAAAGGGAGAGAGCGGCATCGGTTAACAAACAAACGACAGACAGAACGAACTGAAGAAAGACGTAACTAAATAGAGAAAGAAAGCAATACACACAGGAATAAAGCAAGAAGCACTAAAGCCAGAACGAAACACATGTATACGTAACGACATGAAACAGAGTTATGGTTGCAGACCGATAAACAGATGGATAGACAGATAGAGAGAGAGAGAGAGAGAGAGAGAGAGAGAGAGAGAGAAAAAAAAAGAGATACAGAGAGAGAGAGAGAGAGGCAGCGAGAGAGAGAGAGAGCGAGAGAGACAGAGCGACCGAGACAGAGGGAGAGAGAAAGGACGACGGAGAGAAAACAACCTAAACCCTAAACACAGAGAGACGGACTCGGCGGTCAAGTTGGTCTAAACAGCATCTAACAACGAAGCCACTTCGCAGTCTGTATACCGCTGCAATACTCTACGATAGGGGGACCCCCATATATCTATATATGTGTATACATATGTGTATACATATATAGAGGGTGTAGACAGATAGATAGATAGACATGCAGAGATCAAAACTCTCCGTCGCAGCTCATGTACTGGGAGATCTGGAGCCCTCCTCGCCCTTGACATCGAGGAAGCCAATCAGCGTCTCCACCTGACATTCGGCTGCGGGTTTTGGGCTTTTTCGGTTTCTTGGGTTTTAGGTTTTAGGGTTTAGGGGTTGAGGGGTTCAGAGGTTTAGGGTTTAGGGGTTTAGGGTTTACAGGTTTAAGGTTTTAGGGCTTAGGGGTTTAAGGGTTTTGGGCTTAGGGGTTAGAGTTGTAAGGTCTTGGTTAGTAGCCCCCACAGAACAAGACACAAAGTATACACTGACCAGCGTCGGAGAGCGGTCCTACATACACTCACCAAGACCCGATTCTAAACCCTACCCCAAATCCGGCTCCAACAGTTGGAAAGCAGGACGGTGCAGAAAGCAACGAGTAGTAGCAGTGAGTGCATACCGTCATCTGGCAGTGTTCAACATACCTGTCACCAGAAGATCAAAGTTCAAATGCTCCCTCGTTTGCATTTAGGAGTTGTTGAACGGCCCCCGCCCCCTAGCTCAAAGAGACACCGAATATGTGACCCCAAGACTTCTAAAGCCCTACCAACCGCCTTAAATACAAGTAGCGCCATGGACTAGAGACCCTCTGCTGTGCACAGGGGAAATTATTTCATGTAAGAGAAGTAGCGAGTAAACTGCGGAAATCATGAAGAATCGAAAACATCAAGATGATCCTTGTTGCAAGAAACAAAACCAACAGACAACACGGCTTGTATTTCACCACGACTCAAACCAGAAAATGCCGTTGTACGCACCCAGTATGCCCAGCCTCAGAAGTGGATGTGTCGGCCACGTTGGCAGTGCCAACGCACTCTAGGGCCTCAGAAACCAAAAAGGTTTGAGGGCGAGTAAGCGGTTTTGGGTTTAGGTTGTACCAGGAGCCCCCAAAAGGCGAAGGGCTTTCATTTATACTAAAGCGAACTCCAGAAAGTTGGAACCCGGGCGCATTAAAACTTTATCAGTGATGGCCGGAGGATGATGGTCTTACTAGTTCCGGCTTCCACTGTATGAGGTTTTACATGGAGCTGCACTTTTCCTGGACATTCTCGTGAAGCTGTGTGGTGTTTTCGGGGGTCTTTAAGGCTTAGACTTTATGCCTTGGAGAAGTAAGCTTAGGGCCCACAAAAGTTACAGATGTTTAGCACACACGCAATTGTTTAACGTTACTCGCTTGCCAACTGTGTGTTACTAAGGCCCAAACCCTCAAGTTTTGAAGCTATAAACCCCAGCTTTAAGCCCTGAACCCTGACACCTCTTCCTAAACCCTAAATTCAATACCCCAAACCCTAATCTCCGATCCCGCCAACCCTTGCGCCGACCGCTTGCTGAGGCTGCCGGCTGCTATCTTCACCTTGCTGTCGGGTACCTGGCTTCAGGCTGATAGGGCCCAAAACAACACAGAAGCACAAATTGGGATAGGGATATTAATGAAGTAGGGATATCCCTGTAGCATGTGGCGTGCAGGGGAGTTCAGGGTTTAGGGTTTAGGGTGCAGGGGTTAGTTCAAAGGTTTGGGGCTCAGGGTGAATTCTGGCTTTAGGGTGGTGTTTAGGCGTTTAGGGTTTAAAGTTTTTGAGGTTTTAATTGTCTTTTGTGTTTCAGGCTGGGTCTAGGGCTCAGGGTGTTTCACCCAGAAACCTGGTCGTGATTTGTGCCACATTCCTTATTCGCAGATGCACGCTAATGCTAAAATAAGTGCCTTAATGATTAAAACAGGGTTGTGGGGTTTCCAAGAGGCCCGTCAAATTCCCAAACAAAACTCAACCAACGGGGCCGACTCTTGTGGCCTTGAGGATTTTCGCCTTACAGAAAAGGGAAGCTATAAGTTGCCGGGGACATAAAACTAGGATTCAAGGTTTGTTCCTTAACTACGGGGTATTGGGCTTAGAAGTACCCCTAAGACTCCTAATGTCCTAACGGCACCGAAATAGGTACCATTTATAGAGGCCTAGGTAAGTACTGTTCGTCTACTTGGAGTCTCAGGGTATAGGAGCCCTGAGAGGACCCGGCAAAGCAGTCCAAATCTTGCAAAAGCTGACCGTGAGCATCTGGAACATCAGCTCTTCACGCTGGTGGCTTACCACCTTCCCGAGTGGAAGGGTAGAGACTGGGCACTGCCCCCATACAGTAACAGTCTATAATAGGGCTACTATTAAGGTCCCTATATCTCTATATTATGAATATTATCCAACTGTTACTGAGTGGGGGCCGTACCCAAGGTAGAGACACGGTGCCCCATGGCATCGAGTTAGTTTAAGGGTCCTTCAGGGGTTGCTTAAAGGTCGCCGTTGAGGGGGTTACATGAGGCCCTCCTGATTTGGAGTGTTCGAGAAGTGGCTCTGCAAAACGCAGACCGACAGAGCGTTTAGGTTAGGATCAAGGTTTAGTGTTTAGGATTTCCGCATTTCTTGGTATGACTAGGGTTTGGGAGTAATCTTGCCGATTGATCTGGTTTCTTGGTTCCAAACAACATAGGGGCCTTGATAACTAGATTAGGTTTTGGGGCATATTATACTAGGAGTAAAATAAGGGACACTAAAATCGTCGACAGTTATCTAGGCTCCGAAATTTTGCCTTGTTTGAATTATCGATTTGCAGCCAGCTCTAACCTACTCACCAAGTTTACTGAGCCTCGAGCAAGCCCTTAAACCCCCAACAGTTACCCTTTAAAGGAAACCTTGACTGTATCTCAAGTCGCTTATTACTGCAGTCTATAAGCTAGAAAGTTGGAACTCAACTTTCCTCATTCAAGCCCATGAAAGTAAATTATCGGGAATCCCAAAATGAATCCTCCTAAATCTATGCTCCAACTTCCTGGGGTTCACTATCCCTAAACCCCAAACCCTAAATCCCTGGACCGCACCCTGAAGCTCTAAGCAAAAATCCTGCCATTGGCCTTGAGATGCGCAATTCCTCGCTCTCTTTTTGTCCGTCGCAGGACCCGTCGAAGCAATGAGCGATGCTCGGATTTCCAATGGCTAGGGTCTGGGGTTGAAGGTTTTGAGGATTGAAGGTTTGAGAAGGTGACTGATAAGTGTTGAGGCTACAAGCGCTTTTGTCGCCATGGAGGCGGACATCAACTAGGAAATCACGGGCCTTGCATCTGTTGACGGCATCTTTACAACGGGTCTATGGGTTTCTGGGAAGTTCATACAGAGTTACAGGGCTTGTACGTGCTTTCTGGGGGATAGGCTTGAAAATTCTGGAACTGGGGTTTGGGGGTTTTGAAACGAGTTTTTGTGGTATACGCCCCTTAACAATAAGGGTACCCTTATTGCCAATATTCTGATAAGGGAACCCCAACATAAAGCGGGTACTACTCAGGAACCTATGACTTCTGCGGAAAAGCTTTCGTGTGCCGTCCCGTCGCCAGGACCTTGCCGCTGGAATCGAGGAGCTTCACCTCCAGAAGAAGCTTGTGTCAGGCTTTTAGAGTAATTGCTTCGTCAGACGGGTTCCGCTAATGTAGGAACCTGGTTAAGAAAACATGAGCTTACAATCCCAAAATAGTAGGACTCATATAAAGAATCCCAATAAAGGCCCAAGGTTGCTTAATCAGGTTCCGACAATCATTTATAGCAACCCAAATAGACCCCAACTAGTACCCAAATAAAGGCCAAGGGTTTCTTAATCAGGTTCCGACATCAGGAATGACATCAAGGATTGCGAACCTAAAAGCTCCAAGCAGTATCAGTCGACCCAGGGTTCAGGGTTTAGGGCCCCGCTTCCCTTCATAAGGGTGACATAGGAGGGAGCCTAACATTAAGTCTCTCAAGGAAAAAGGGGTTTAGGGTTTAGGGCCCATGAATCATAGGTGTCATATAGGAGGGATCCTGAAATTAAATCTCTTAAGGAAAAGGGGTTTGTTGATCAGAGCTCTACTGTAACCCACGTCTTTGCACATGTGGCTGCTTGTGATTTCTGAGAAACGCAGCTCGCTGGTTGACGTTAGGATGCAAGAGTATTTCGAACGGGGTCGGGGGAGATATTTAGTATACTGAAGATTATCAACAAGACCCATATAGGGAATGGTAGTACATTGTCATGTATGTTTTTTACATCGACAGAGTGACTCGAGGCTTGAAGAAATGAGTTCATGGGTCGAGGTTGTGGCTGGAGATGGGCCTCCCTTTGCTTTTCAGCTTTAAGGATATAGTGCCTAGGGGTTTAGGGAGTTTGGGGTAGGGGCTCCAGGGTTTCCAGCTATTAAGAAAGCAAGTGCTCATGTTGACTTGAGAAGCAACTCTGCACCGGTGAGGCTCGGGGAGCTCGGGGCTCAGGGTTCCGGATTGGTCTTTAGGGTTTAGGGTTGTTAATTCCGGGAAGACCATAATGTGCGAGGTTTGTGGCAGTCCGCCTCCGTGAAGCCCAGCGCACGGCCATACTTCAACACCGTGCCGATCACCGTGATGACCTAGTGCAGGGTCGCTTGCCCAAAGAGCCCTAGGTACCGTTATGGGGGATACTTCCTCAAATCATCATAGTAAATTCCTGATTTTGAAACCCTACATTAACCCGAAACTCCCAGATCCCTGAACCCCAAACCCTGGGTTGCTAAGGAAATAGACCATAAATCATATCGGGGATCCCATGATACCTTACCTTAACCTACCAAAACTTACTTTTTTGTAGGGTCCCTATAAATTTCATGTTACAAAAAAGTAGGGTTTGGTAGTTTACGGTATTGGAAGATCTAGGACAAACGCAGCCCATGCCTCTCCTCCCTTCGCCGGCGCCATGAATGTCTGACTCATCTCAACACTGACGCCGGGGCGCGTTGGGTCCTGGCCGTGCCAGAGCATGATATGAAGGTACCCTCCAGAAGAGTATTACTAATTGTTGAACCCTGAACCCTCAACTCTTAAACCCTTAACCCTAAAGCCCTGAACCCTAAAACTTCAAGCCCTAAACCCTAAACTTCTCATACCATCCTATGCCCAAACCCGAAACCCCACTAGCGTTGGAGTCGGCTGCATGAAAGCGAGTAGCGTTGTCCGATGGGCCATAAATCGTAACCCTTAAACCTCAAACCATCAGCCCTACACTCCGCTAGAACCCTCAACCCTCAAACCAAGGCCCAAACCATCCTAAACCTTAAACGGTAATCCCTGACCCATCCTGTTAGCCTTCCGACTTCCAAAAAAGGGTCCTTGCTCAAGAGGGCCATGGTTCCCAGAACGTCCACCAGCGTGGCTGTGCATCCTGCATCATGGGCTTTAGGGTTACGGTTATGTGGTCAGGGGTACATACGGGCTTTGGGGTTTCAGGGTTCTGAGGTTTCGGGGTATGAGACTGTAGGGTTATGGGGTTTCGGGTTCAGGGTTTATGGTTAGAAGGTTTGGGGTTCACGGTTAAGGGCTGTATTTAGAGAAATTATTAGGTTTAGGGCTCATGGGGTTTAGGGTTGAGGGTTATGCGGTATGGAGTTCAGGGACGGTCTTTAGGGTTTAGGGTCGTGAGGTGTTAGAAGCTGCCCCCACCCTGTAATCGTGACTATAAGGATTCTATTAGGGCCCTATTATATTCCTATTATACCACTGCTACAGGGCGGGGGCCCCTTCTAAGGTATGGGGTTTCGGGTTGAGGCTGTAGGGTTTAGGCTTATGCCCGCCCACCACAGCCTAGGGTCCCTCACATCAAAGGGGAAAAGGAGGGACCCTTCATGGGGACCCCTACCCTATAATGGGCTATATCATGGGGTATATGATAGCTATATTAAGAGTATATTCCTAGGGGTCCTTAAACCCACCCCTAATCCTAAACCCTATAAACCCTAAACCCCTACCCCCCTAGGGGTCCTTGTTAAGGGTGTCAGATGTTCATTTGAGCTCGGAGCCCTTGGGTGTTGGAGCCAGAAAACACCTTCGCCCATGCAGTTGATCTTTGCTAAAAATCGATGAGACTATTGTTGGACATGTAATGTAACTCACAAAATGTGTGCATGTGTATATTTTCGTTAACATGAAAACGAGATTGATAACAGTGATACTAACAATAACGAGGGTGCCCTTCCTTCTGATACGGAGATCGGGAAACCCCGCCAAGCCCTCTCAAGAAACAGACACAAAAACCCCGCCGGATAGCCTGCAATTTGGTTGCAAGCTTGGCTTGGGATACTAGGTACTCTAAACTCGCGTAAGAGCGACAAGACGAGAGCTGCTCCAGCGGGGGGTCTCTCTCTATGTGGGCTCTCCTGAGGGACCATGTCATTACCCAAATAGTATATAATTTGGCCCCAGTGTACCTATGTAGGGAGTACTTTCATGCCAAAGTATATACTATTTGGGTACATAGACCCGAGGCCTCTTCAAGACAGCAGGCAGTCGGGTTAAACTTGCTGCATGAAAGCTCCAAGTGGAAAAGACAGCCTCCATGCATTGTTCCGTAGGCATTCTTGACACCCTCCGCCACGGTGATTTGACACCTCAAAGGGAGAATTTTGGCGCTATCGAACATCTCTTGCGTTTGTGGGTCCCTTATTTCCGATGCTCCCAGATCGATCAATTAAGAAAGCACACAAAAAGACCGCATAACGGACTTGCCGGAGATCGCCCACTTCGGCTGTAGCAACCTCATATACTGGCACACTGCAGTACATGTTGCTCTGCGCTTGTTGCTCAACCAATACAGTCTTGTCCTAAACCCCAAACTTCTACACCCTACAGCTGGATAGGGGCTTCAGGGCATCGAAGCTTCCTGGGCCTTTAGGGCGCCAGGGTCTCGATCTTTGGGGTTGGAGTTTCAGGCAGATGGAGCAACTCAAACCTGTAGCTCCTCGACCTTCACCAGGCCCCTCGCAACCCGTACAATAATGACCGAATCTGCACACCTTAAACTGCCAGAGCTCTACCATTCTGCATATAGCCAAACCTCTACGGAGCTGTAGAAGGGTCCCGAGTCCCGCATATGATTCCGGGCACATGCTTTCATCATGGGGTTACAACTCCGTCCAAATAGCCTTCATAGAACCCTAGCCTTCATAATAAACCCTGAAGAGCCGTGTACAGAACCCAACCTAGCCTCATACTTCGGCCCCCTTTAACGAAGCCCCTTGAACATCCCTTTATAAACAAAACCTTGGTAG